TGAGGAAGAGGAGGAGGATGAAGACTTCAGTGACTATGAAGATTTGCCAGAGCAAGCAGAAGAGACAGGGAATTTAGGAGATCCTGATTTGAAGAGGGAAAAGGCGAAAGTGAAGAAGAACAGATCTAAGAGGGCTTTGCAAGAAGCAATTGAGCTACTAGACAAAACAAGAGGTAGGGGCAGAGGCAGAGGAAAAGGCAAAGGAAGAGGCAGAGGGAGAGGAAGAAAGGGGAGAGGAAGAGGAAGAGGGGGAAATATGCCAGCTGAAGAGCCTGGCAATCACAGTGAAGAGACTAAAGAGAAGTCAGTGGCTGAAGAAGCTCAGCAGGAAACGGTGGGTGAAACCAAAGAGAAGCCTGCAGCCTTTGAACAGGGAAGCCAAGAGGAAGTGGCGCATGAAGCTGAGGCCTCACAAAAGAGAAAGGCTGAAAGTGGTGAGGAGGCTAGAGTTGAAGGTGAAGCAAAGGATTCAAGAGGAAGTGAGGAAGCAATGGGCAGTGCAGAAGCTGAGGCTGTGGTGCCAGCAGCTGCAAGGGCAGGGTCACACATGAGGGCCCCCAAGTTGCATGAGACACCTGGTATCTTAGCTGACCTCTGCCCACCACAAGGCAAGATAGTGCTAAATCACATGGACCACAGAAACCGGGGTTTGTACTTGCTAGCAGTTTTCTTTTTAGTTGTTGTGTCTGTATAAATTGCAGCACTAAGATATGTTTGACACCTGGACTATCTGAGTTCCTTCTCCTCCCCACTGTTGGCTAGGGCCTTTTGGGTTTTTGAGTTCCCCTATTGCTTGGCTAAGGATGGGTTGGCAGCTTCAAGAGTTCATCTGACTGTATTGGGTGGCAAACCCCACCCTTTGCACAGAAGACCTTTAGTAGAAGCTTCAACCACCAAGATGCAGAAGACTGGAAGGCAAAGCTTTGCCAAGTGCGTCAGTGGTTGTGGGACAAGTGGGGGTATGTCAAAGACATAGCTCCCTTCAGGATAGGAGGAGATGTTGAGCAAGAGCCTGGAATCCTTAGAGATGATGTAACCCAGGCGCTCCAAGGCATTATGGACTCAATGCCTTCCAAGACCAAGTACTGGTATTGGCTGAGAACGCTCAATAGGGGAGCCTGTAGGTGCAGCAGCTTGTGGGGGAATCGCTTGTGGCCAAATGGGTGAGTGGGGTGATGGTGTAACAAGCATGGCTGGTAAACCCCAAGTTGGAGTGGGGTCGGGCTGTTGAAAGGGATGCAACTGAGTCGATGTGGGAATGCCCTGGGGGCTCGGTTGTTGATTCTGGTCAATCAAAATTATACGTTTTCTATTGATATTAATTTCCAAAAAATGATTTTTCAATATTTTTATATACAAGTTTTTGATATTTTTTGACACTTTTATTGATACATATATTGTTTTGGATATTGATTTGCATATGCCTTTTTGGCTCAAGCTTGTAGGTGACCTATACCCCTTGACAAAAGAGGTATAGGTCTTTGGCTTCTTGGACATCCTCTTGACAAAAGAGGATGTCCAGAGGAGGTGCAAGGCATACTCCCAAACCCCAAGTGGATGAAGGTTTACTGGTATCCTTGTTTGCAGAACACAAAAGTTTGGTGCAACATATGGGGTCATATGAGAGAATCTCTAGGTCCCAAGCCTGCAACCCTAAGGGTTTGATGGACCTTCTGCCCTTGACCAAAGGGCTAGTGAATCTGGAACCTACATGTGAAATCCACACCCAAGGCTTGAGAAAAGCATTGTTCCAGCTTTTGTTGGAGCACCCATCCCTGAACAATACACATTTTTCAGGATCAGTGTGGGTTGGGTTGAAGGTGGAAAGGATTGGAGTCTTGCAGTACCACACGAGAAGGCTGGCAAACTCCTCTTTGCAATCATGTGCTGCAAGGCTGAAAGGGTCTGAGCTGGAGCAGCTGCAAGAGGTTGTAAATTTGATTGAAAAGAAGGAACAGCCAGCCCTTGTCCAAAGGGCTGAAGAACCTGAGCCTCAGCCAAAAAAGTTGAAGAAGGAGATTAGTGATGTAAGCTGGGACAGCTCAGGTTTTCCTAAATGCTTTGGAACCCCTGAAGGTGAGAAAGCCATGGCCAGCAAATACCTCCCCTTGACTAAAGGGAAGGAACACAGTGAGGAAAACATTGAGGAAGAGATGGAGGAAAGCCCCTTGACCAAAGGGTTGATTTCCCTTCCTCCCTGAAGAAAAAGCCAGGGCAACTTGCAGCAAAAGCTTCCAAAAAAGATGAAGCAAGTGATTTGAAAGCAGATCTAGGCATTGCCAAGAAGCCTGCCAGCAAAAAGAAAGGTAAGAAGAAACCAAATACAGGGAGTTCCTTGACAAAAGGTCCCCCACCAAAAAAGAGTTCCTTGGCAAAAGGTCAACCAAAAGCAAAGAAAGGCAACGCAAAAAAGAAACCAAAGAATGCATTTGCAACTGATGCAGCAAGCACTACAAGGAAGCCATGGACAAAGTTGAGGGTGACCACTCCCAAAAAACCACCCTGGAGAATCTATATTTGTGGCACCGCTGCCCCAGGTGGCCAAGGCAAATTGCCTTTGATTGTGGAGACCACTAAGGTTGGCCACAGGCAGTACCTGGATATCATGGCAGAAATCAAGAGAAGGCTCATCACAGAGCACCTGGCCAAAGCAGAAGCTTTGGAGTTGAGGGCCCATTTGTACAACACTTGGTAGGGTTCTTGACAAAAGACTCCTTTTCCTTGACCAAAGGAGCCCTCAAGCAATAACAATTTCCCTTGACCAAAGGGGAAGCAAGCAGCTCTGTACAGAAGCAATGCCTCATGATCAAAGGGGCATGCTGCTTTTTTGAAGTGGCAGCTCTCTTGACAAAAGAGGCAGTTGCAGCCTTCTTTGTAGAAACAGCTCTCCTTGACCAAAGGAGAGCTACAACACAGCAATGTGCCCATGCAAAAAAATGCTTGAAGATGGGGGCTGCAGGGTGTGGGGGTAGTGGTAGTAGTAGTAGTAGTAGTAGTAGCAGTAGCAGTAGGAGTAGTGGTAGTGGTAGTGGTGGTAGTAGTAGTAGTAGCAGTAGCAGTAGCAGTAGGAGTAGTGGTAGTGGTAGTGGTGGTAGTAGTAGTAGCAGGAGGAGTAGCAGTAGCAGTAGCAGTAGCAGTAGTAGTAGTAGTTGTTGTTGTTGTTGCTGTTAAGATGTTGTTAAGATGTTGATGTTGTTGGGTCATGTTGTTTTTGCTGTTGCCATCCAGGGTTCTTGGGTTTAGGCCCACCAGGTCCAGGGTTTAGGAGGTAATGTTAATGTTCTGTAGCTTGGCTCAAGCAAAGCATATAGTATAGACTTGCCAGTTCCTTGACAAAAGGAACTGGCTTTTGTCAAGGCCACAGGGGAACATCCTTGACCAAAGGATGTTTGCCTTGAAGAACAACAAAGGAAAGAAGGCTGGCAGTGGGACAGTGTCCAATGTCAGTAGAGAGGCCTTCAAAAAGAAAGGTATGGAGAGAGAAAACAGGAACACGCAAGCAGAAGACCAGCTCTCCCAGGATGTGGACTGGGAGGTGGCAAAGTCCAAAAACACCAAGGCTAGGAAGCTGTCACAGGAAGAGGTGGCAGAGATGATGAAGCAGCAGGAGCCTGAGGTGAAAAAAGAAGTGAAAAAAGAAGAAGGAGAATGCAAAGCATCTCTTGACAAAAGGGATGGCAGAAAGAAGGGCAAAGGGAAAGCCCATGGTGAAGGTGAAAGCCTAAAGGGAAAGGGCAAAGGGAAGGGTAAGAGCCCTGGAGCCGATGGTGAAGATGAAAGCCCAAAGGGCAAAGGAAAGGGCTCTGATGAAGATGAGACCCTAAAAGGGGAAAGGAAAGGGCAAGAAGAAAAGCTCTAGATGTCAAGGATGGAGGCAAGGGAAAGTCCAAGAGAAAAGGTGAAGACAGCAGTGCCTCCTCTGCCAAAAGAAGCAAGGACTTCTCCTTTGACAAAAAGGATGATGAAGTCAAGCAAGAGCCCTCACTTGGCCAAAGTGAGGCAATGCCCAAGTCCTCACTTGACAAAAGTGAGGCAATGCCCAAGTCCTCACTTGACAAAAGTGAGGCACAGCCAGAGTCCACACTTGACAAAAGT